TCACAGCACTCCACAAAACAACATCCTTATAAGGTATCTGATAAAACAACTTCCAAACGATCCCAATATCACGCATTGAATAAAACCCAAGAAGAGCCGTTGAAACTGCCACTTCTGATTCAAACCCCATTTTGATCACTCCTCCATGCATCACCTCAATCGTTGATTCCCAGCTTAATGCGTCAATCGCTCTTAATACGCTCAGCATTGTCACATGATTTGGCCTGTGCCCATTTGCGAACATCATCTTGAAGAAGCCAAAAGCCGAATCCGGCTGGCCTGTTCTTACCAAGTTGGTGATTTTAGAAGTCCAAGAAATTACATCCTCTTGTTGAGCAAAGAATCCAACTGGGTCTTCGTAATATGCTTGTTTTTTGGCTGAAGTAGCATCGATCACAGGACCTATCGTGTAATTTTTTCTTTGGGGATTTTTGACAAACAGGTTGCGTGCACATCTTGAAAAGCACAGCATATATTACATGCGAAGAGGGACAAATTCGAGATATCTGTTCTGCTAACAGCGGATTGCGGATTCTCGCAAGCGGAATGAAAGGCAGATCAGCGGAATGAAAGGCAGATCAGCGGAATCCAAGAGAGCGAGAATAAGAGAGGAGACTCGCGTAGCATTCGAACAATTCTACAGCTTATATTTCCAGAGCAGGGGAAAATAACGAATTTTCACTTCTAAACTTTCCATCCATTTTTTGACCTAATTTTTCAATTTTATTAAATTATTTAACCAAACTTTTTAAAAATGTTATAAACAATTTTTTAATTCAAGGAAAATTTAAAAATAAAGTTTAGTTTAATCTTTCGTTTAACCTTTTAACTCTTTGTTTAATTATAAATTTTATTTAGCAATGGAATCCATTTTTATTTTATTTAAAATTAAATAAAAATATTTCTAAAATATTTCTGACAATATTAATTTAATTAGAGGCATTTTATTTTCTAAAATATTACGATTTAATAATGGTGAAAATTTAATTAGAAGAAAAATCTAAATTATTAATTTATTTATTATTAACAAATGCATAACTAACTAAATAAACTACTACACTGGCCACTTTAAAAGGAAGTGGGTTAAGATACGACGCCGTAGCCTGCCGCGATTTGTTGCCCTCTCCTCCGACCATTTCAGAATTATTTTAAAATATATTTTACTTATTTTATTTTTATTTAATTTTATAATTATTTTTCATTCATTTTTAAAAATATTTTTTATTATTTAAATTTCAATATTTTAAAATAAGTAAATAGATGATCGATCTTAAGCAAAGGATTCAAACAATCCAAACCAACCTAATTTAAAATATTTATGATTAATTTACTGTCCTAATAATTAAATTTGGTATAAAAAATATTCAAAATATCCAAAAGTTTAATAAATTAGATATTATTATTATTTTTTTTTTTTTGTAAAATTAATATTATGGATTTGAATTTCCAGCTCAAGAATTCAACAAGAATTTGTTTTGATTGACAATTAAACATAAAAATAAGGTTTTATTATTTTTTCTTTATAAATTTAACATCTAATATATATATATATATATATATATTCCTTGAAAAAAGAGTTCGTGTGAATCACATTTTTAGGATTTGAGTGGTTCACATTTCAACCTCAAATAATTGACGTACTAAAAAAAGAAGGGATTGAATTGTTGACTACGATTGAACCGACTGAAGAGATGAAATTGTTTATTCTACTTCAAATTTGTCTTTGAATCAAATAAAAATTAATAAGAACATGATGAGATAGCGGGAGGAAATTACGTAATTTCGTTGCCAGTTGATTCGTCTATTTTCCTCGCTCTAACTGGTTCGTTTATCATTCACGACAATTCAACATTGCTCTAAGATTTGTTGTCGTTTGGAGCACCATGGACTTCGAATCAGGTGCGCCGAATCGTAATCAGACTAGACAATCATTTCCTTTTTGTTTTCTACAATTTTGTTCACTGTCGCGCGTAATTTCGATGTTCTTAATTGGATTTTGCAGTTGTTGAGTTTCTTGGATGTGTTCCGCTGCTTCAGAGGCTTCCTGGCTCATCTCTAAAGGCTATTGCTGAAGTGATTGTCGTTAAGCACTACGGTAAGTTTCATTTTCCATAATTTCTTCGTAACTTTTGGTTCATCGTAGTATGCAATCACCTGACGATATCCAGTAAAATTTTGCTCCTCCACTCGATGGAATAAGTTTGTAGTGACCGATGTGCGATTTGAGATTATGATGTTCGTTTCCTTTCCTAGCTGATGTCAATTGTGGGAAACAATCGAACTGGCCGTAGTGTTGATATTAGTTTAAAAGATAAAATTGATCTTTAACTCAAAACTTGGAGGTTTTTGGAGTTTATGGCGGTTACATTAGAGAAAAAATTGGAGTTCTGGCTATTGTAACTTCAGATTTATTAGCTAACGTAGCAGTCGTTATATCACAGTTTTAATTTGACAAGCTTTTTTCAGAGAGGGGAGACTATGTTCTTCGCGAGGGTGAAACAGGAGCTGGAATCTATTTTATATGGGAGGGAGAGGTAATCTTCTTCAGAAATTTGTAGTTCTTGGAAGTTTAGTTGGTCTTGAAAAAGCTTCTCTTATGATTTGCAGGCTGAAATACTTGGTTCCAATGATGGAGACGAAGAAAATCGTCCGGAATTTCAATTGAAGCGTTATGACTATTTTGGTTATGGTAAATTTTTTCTCAGTATTTTTGACGTATAGTGTGAAATTGAAGCGTTATGACTATTTTGGTTATGGTAAATTTTTTCTCAGTATTTTTGACGTATAGTGTGAGATCCCACATCGGTTGGAGAGGAGAACGAAGCATTCTTTACAAGGGTGTGGAAACCTCTCCTAGCAAACACGTTTTAAAAACCTTGAGAGGATGCCCGAAAGGGAAAGCTCAAAGAGGATAATATCCTAGCAAACACGTTTTAAAAACCTTGAGAGGATGCCCGAAAGGGAAAGCTCAAAGAGGATAATATCTGCTAGCGGTGGGCTTGGCCGTTACATATAGTATTCCAGATCAACTATTGCCCTGATGTCAAATTTGTTAAACATGAAGTATCCTTTCTACTTCTGCGTTAAACGCATCTTAGCGTCCATGCCTTTCCGTATAGGAATCATTTGTTGAACTTCAAAGCATTTACGTTAAACGCATCTTAGCGTCCATGCCTTTCCGTATAGGAATCATTTGTTGAACTTCAAAGCATTTACAACCTATTACTGGATCATATCAGATTATGTTTTAACATTTCACAGTTTCAAAAACTTCTTCTTTTGGTTTTCCCACTAGATTGTTCCCTTGTCTTCGTTCTTCGCCATGTACTCATCTCGATATAACCTTTTGGTTTTCCCACTAGATTGTTCCCTTGTCTTCGTTCTTCGCCATGTACTCATCTCGATATAACAAGCGTGTTGAATTTTGGTGTCACTCTTTATATTGCCATCTTGGGCTGATAAAAACTGATTCTGGATTTTACATGCTCAATGCTAGTCTTGTTCTGATTCTTGAAATTGAATGAAACTGCTTTTGTAGGAACCTCATCAACTATACAAGAAGCTGATATAGTTGCTTTGTCTAAAGTAGGTCGTTCAGGCATTCCATTTTTTCTTTTACAAACAAAATTCCTCTTCCTTGAGGTTATTCTATCGACACACTTTACTTACGTGTGTGCTTATTGTGGCAGCTGACATGTTTTCTCCTACCTCGGGAACATTGACACACTTTACTTACGTGTGTGCTTATTGTGGCAGCTGACATGTTTTCTCCTACCTCGGGAACATTATCCATTACTAAATCCAATGTCAATCTGGAATGCTCATGGAACTCCTGATACATGTGCACATGTTGAGAAAATATTGCACCTAGAGCCTCTGGAAGTATGTTTTTCTTGAATACGATTTTACTTTTCGTGTTGAGAAAATATTGCACCTAGAGCCTCTGGAAGTATGTTTTTCTTGAATACGATTTTACTTTTCGCAAGTAGTGCCCACATTCCCTACTCCCATGAAGCTCATGATCTCTCTTTCTCTATGACAATGTTTTTTCTTTCTAAAAAAATTTGCTTATTTCTCTAGCACTTTTCATTGGAACAAAAGATGAAGGAATTTCGAAACTCTTCTTATTCTCTAGTTTGTTTATGTTCTAGGATAAGTGATATCTCAAATTCTTTTAATTTTGCACAATCAATTTCTCCGTTTTTATTTATCCTAAAATATATTTGGTTTTCATAACTAGTCAATTCTAAAAATCTTCGTGGGAATTACTGTTTCATAGGAACTAATTCTTTTATCTATTTTAAAATTTGGCTTAAATAGTTTTGTAAGGAATTACTGTTTCATAGGAACTAATTCTTTTATCTATTTTAAAATTTGGCTTAAATAGTTTTGTAATTTTTGTTCTATTTTTGAAAAATAAAGTTTATTTCTTTAAACTTTAAATAATATTTAATTCATTATTCATTTTGAATGTTACTGAAAAATCAAACTGGTTTTATTTTAATATATCATCTATCTAATTCATTATTCATTTTGAATGTTACTGAAAAATCAAACTGGTTTTATTTTAATATATCATCTATCTTTTTAGGATATTACATTATTGCACAAACAAATATATTCCAAGAACATCAATGAATCTCGTCCTAAGTAAACAGAGAATGAGAGAATTGTATTGTTCCTCTTGAAGCATAGAGCAAGATTAAGTGAAATGAAAATTGAGAGATTATGTGATTGACTAGTTCCCGTTGAAACATAGAACTACATTAAAGTTGGTTTTATCTCTCAGACATGATATTCTTTTCTTTGATTATGTAATGCTGCTAAAATTATTGCTTCTATTTTTTCTTTCTTTCTTTCTTTCGTTTTTTTTTTTTTTTTTGTGGGATTCTCTGTAGGCAAATATATTCCGGGGGATTACTTTACCAGATGCTCCAAAATTTGGAAAGGTTTTTGGTGGACAGCTAGTTGGTCAGGTATGCTTTTCATCCTTTCCGGGGGGTGGGGGTGGGGGTGTTCTTTTTAGTTCTTCTTCCACAATTGTCAAAGAAGCAGTATCTGTATTTTTTTCATTGGTATTGTATAATAGAATTCAAAATATAGGGCGTTGGATATCTTTGTTACTTAAATCTAGTATTGGTAGTTTGAGATTTCGATACAGTTGACTAGTGAATTAATCTTAAGTGCAGTTCAAAAAATTTTGTTCTCATGTTAACCTGGTGCTCTATCACATGTCCTTGATATTGTAACTTTAACAATTATTTGCCAATCATGACAACATATCTTTTAGTATAAAAGGTTTTTAAGAAAGATCCATCTTCGTTTTTACGTCTCTACTGATTTAGCAGCTTATGCATGTCCCAATATTTTTTGCTCATATTTAAGTTACTTGATAAATATAGACTTCGAACACGATAGAGCAAGATTGTTGATGCTTCTTTATACACAGAAATCCACTTCTAATTCATACATATCACAGGCACTGGCAGCAGCGTCAAAAACTCTTGATTGTCTCAAGTTTGTCCATAGTTTGCATGTATATTTTCTTCTCGTTGGGGATTTTGATTGTAAGTACAATTATTTACGCTGGTTCTTGATGCTTTTATTGCACAGATAACTTAATCCCAGATGTAATATCTTCTTGTGTTTACACATATATTTGTTTCTTATCTTCATCATTGTCATTTCACATAATTCACTTACAATTAAATTAATTTGCATGGTAGTGTATATAAAAAATAAAAAAAAAATTGCACGGTGGTGGCTGTTGGCGAGAGAATGCCTCATCTTCTCATAAAATTGTAGCATGTGAAGCTTTCAGGATACAAGTGTTTATTTCATCCAAGGATGTGTTTCCCTGTGGCATTTAATGATTCATCAGAAGCCAGGATACAAGTGTTTATTTCATCCAAGGATGTGTTTCCCTGTGGCATTTAATGATTCATCAGAAGCTGTGCTAGCTGGGTTCCTGGTACTTTATGGATTTGTCAACATTGACTTGAACTCTTGGTTTTATATGCTTCTGTAAACCATAAGATTTGGCAATACACATTCCACATTTGGAGCGCAGGACTTTTTACTATATGCTTCTGTAAACCATAAGATTTGGCAATACACATTCCACATTTGGAGCGCAGGACTTTTTACGATAAATTATCTATATGGGTTTGCTTAGTTCTAGAAGCTGCCTGCTTTATTGTTGAAGTTCAATTATTTTCCATTCTATGTGACAAACTTCAGATGGTGAAACAGACATGATAACCACTCATTGTTTGCTTTTTTAGTGCCAATTATATATCAGGTTCACCGTATGCGTGATGGAAACAGCTTTGCTACCCGGAGAGTGGATGCAATCCAGAAAGGACATGTCATTTTCACATTGCTTGCTTCATTTCAAGTAATTACCATTCTTGGATGAAAACTGTTCAGTAATTTTTTTTTTTTTTTTTGTTGGAAAAATACCAATTTTTACTCTCAACTTATTTTGTTAGTTTCATTATTAATTGAAACTCTGACTATGTTTATGAACACGATAGTAGTATGTAGAAATTTGGCTTATGAATATGGAAGAAAAATAGCAATGATTAGTTTAAGAAAAAAGCATACAAGAGATACGACAGCTAGATGAGTTTAAGAAGATAAATAGCAATGATTAGTGCATCATTTAATAAGACCGTCTCATGTAGAGTAAATTTGTTTAAGAAGATAAATAGCAATGATTAGTGCATCATTTAATAAGACCGTCTCATGTAGAGTAAATTTAAGAAGTCAAACTACAATTTCCTGATATTTATTGTACTTTTATGGCATAGACTTGCTAGAGGAAGATATTTATGGTAGAACAATTGGAATGATCTTCCAAGCTAGGCAGTTTCCCAAACCCCTTCGAAAATCTGTCACTCAACTTTGAATGAATCCATGGACTTTTAGGTGATAAATCATTTGTGCAAATAACAAAAAATATAGAATAACTGGAAGAGGTATTAGAAGTCAAAATAACCAGTTTGAGTAACACAGTGATAATATCTGTGGGGAACTCCAAATCAAGTTCCATAACACTCATCGGAAACTTAGCTTATTATACGTTTAATATCTGTGGGGAACTCCAAATCAAGTTCCATAACACTCATCGGAAACTTAGCTTATTATACGTTCCAACAATACTATATTCCTACAGCATGAAAGTTATTCCAAAACAAATCCAAATCTTGAATTTTGTAAATTTTGGAAATAGTAATGAGAGACAAAATTTCTACTTCATTAGACATTTCTATTGTTTTTGCTGCAATTGATTGCCAATACCATAATGGTTTGTTTGCAGAAAGAAGAAGAAGGATTTGACCATCAGATATCAAAAATGCCATCCGTGCCAGCTCCAGATACGGTGACTAAAACTTTACAATCTATATGTAAGAAAATTTCCATCAGAGAATTGCTGTTTCGATATTAATATTGATTATATTGTAGCTTCTATCAATGGAAGACTTGCGAGAAAGACGACTTACAAATCCATCGCTTCCTAGGTAAGATTTATCTTTTGTCCATATCAGAAATTCTGTATGGGCTTTCTGATCGTGTCAGTTAGTTGGAACATTCATGCTCGTTCTTCCTATAAACATGTGCTCGAATATCTGAAACTTTTATTATGATATTTGATAATATATTAGGTCATGCAGTGCCCTGGATATGAAAACAATAATTCAATTATTTTGGTGAAATTGTGTCTAGTTGGTTTTATTTTTATTAGAGTGTAGGTTAACAAAAGGTCAGCCGTTTATATGGCCAAAATGTCTATGAACAAGTGATAAGACACTTCTAATCCTCAGCCCACCAACATTTGTGGATGCAAAAGCCTTGAATCAAAGAAATTAACCCCTTAACTCCTTCTACAAAATTTGAATCAACCCCAAGAGATAAGGTAGAATTAGATTACCTCTTGAGATCAAATATCTAGAAGTAAGATTTGGAATCTTTTTCTAAATTGAGTCACTCCACAATCGAACTTGATTAAGGCTTAGATTGAATGACTCGGATGCAATCTAGCACAAGAATTGTTTGAAATATAAATCTATCTACAACAACAAGAATACTATCTTTATCCCTTTTAGTGTGCGGCAAACCAAAAACAAAATTCATAGATATATTAGTCCAAGGTCATTAAGTACATTTAAAAGAATATACAATCTATTTGGTTGTGGTCTAGACTTGGCTTTTTACGTTTAAAATATTGGCTACAAAACTTATGAACATCATACTTCATCTTCTGTCAAAAGAAGTGTTCATGTAACATATTATAAGTTTTATTAATCCAAAGTGTTCCATTAAGGCACCTCCATGTCCTTTCACTAGCAAATCTCTTCTAAAACATTTAGGATCACAGTTCCCAAGTCTTGGTCTTGTCTATATAACTCTTTAACAAATCTCTTCTAAAACATTTAGGATCACAGTTCCCAAGTCTTGGTCTTGTCTATATAACTCTTTAATATGCTCAATTCCAAGAATTTTTGTACTAAGAGATAAAGCGATTGTACCTTTTTGATAATGCATCAGCTACTATATTATCCTTACCTTACTTATATTTGATGACATACGGAAATGTTTCAATAAACTCTACCTACTTTGCACCCTACAATTCAGTTTGCTTTGACCTTTAAAATACTTCAAGTTTTCATGATCAGAGTGGATCGTAAACTCTCTCGTTCATAAATAGTGTTGTGGCACCTATAATGGACAAACTAAATTAAACAATTGTCTTTCATATGTAGGATAGTTTAATGCTGCCCCATTCAGTTCTTCACATTTAGTTTTCCTCTAAAATACATTAAAGGCTTTCCATTTGCATCAAAGCAGCA